CTTTTTTTCATTTGTAAATTAAAGAGATTGGACAGGAGATCATGATTTTTTTTCCTTGGTCTTGGCACTTAACCTCTTTGCCTCCGTTTTCTTCTCTGCAGTAAAAAAAAGTCTTATCAGCCTTAATTCCTTGAGTGTTCTAGTCTACTGTGAATATTAAATAGATATCAATGTTAACTAGAAATTAAACATGAAGACACTTCGAAGAGTATAATGCTTTATACAAGTGTAAGCCATTGTCATACTGGCAGCATACCACACTGAGGTTTTTTTCCATCATCATTCACTGGCACTTGGACTCTCTCTCATGTATGTGATGATTTGCAATTTTCAAAATGTCTTCACGGATGTGGTTCCATAGTGTAGCGGTTGGCACGTCTGCTTTACACGCAGAAGGTCCTGGGTTCGCGCCCCAGCGGAGCCACGGTCCATAGTCTACGGCCATGCCACCCTGAACAAGCTCGATATCTGATCTCGGAAGCTTAGCAGGGTTGGGCCTGGTTAGTACTTGGATGGGAGATCACCTAGGAAGACTAGGTGCTGTAGGCATTAAAAAAAAAAAGAGTCTTCACATACTTGAGATATCTGACCTTCCCAAAAACTAGCAATGACTAAAATCCAAAAGTCTTCTGATTCTTAACCCATTGGTCATCTTATTACCACTGTCATTTGCCTTCTGGGTGCTGTGCTCCCAGGCATTTTTCCATAGCAATAAATCAGGCATAGGCCCTGCCACTTAGCAACATTTAGTTTAAAATAGACACAACAGTGCACGTGTCAGGTCATTGACATAGAGGAGACACAGTACTAAGTAGACATAGTCTCATCACGTTAATACAACAACCCAGTGAGAAAAGTCAGAGTATACTTATTTTAAAGGCGTCAAAACTGAGGCTCAAGAGAAGTTAGTTTACTTGTCCAAAGACACTCAAAGGGTGGAAAATAGATTTGAACCCAGGTTCGTTTGTTTCCATGGTTCCTAATTATGACCTGGACTCTGGTTAGTCAGAGTGTGGGCCAGACACCTGCAGCATTGGTACAACCTGGGAGTTTGTTATAAAAAAAAAAAAAAGCAAGTCTCAAGTCTCCCCTCGACCTACTGATTCAGAATCTGCATGCTAAAAAGACACCTAGGTTAGTCCTGTGCACATTATAATTTAAGAACCACTGATCTCTATTGCCCCCCAGTATAGATCTATCCACAATACACAGAAGTGCAAATTCTATAAATAAATACATGTATACATTGATACATTGTAGTGTGTTTTTAAAATATACTTCTAAATAGTTTACTTTAAGAAAGGGAATTTAGGGATTTAAAAGCAAGTGGCATGAGTCTATGTTAGATTAGGAACTGAATTAATTGAATTAACAGATATAGAGTAATATTAGGATACATGTGATTTGCATATATAGCAATTGCAGCATACTCCCAATCCTGGATTTATTTTAGAGCTTCCTATTCTCAAAACTTATTCACTAGTATTTTTTTTCTTTACATAAAACCAGCAAATATTATCCTTACTCCAACATACTCAAGACAACTAGTATATGTGTCCAGTGCAAATAATTATGAAGCACTGAAACAATATTTAAGATATAATCTTTGCCCAAGTAATTTTTAGCTTTAGGGTTCTCTTGAAAAGAACTGCAGTATGATTTTTTCATTTCGATATATTAGCTAAACTCATTGCGATTGGCTCTACTGGTTTTTTTCCCCTATAGCATTGTTTTTAAGCATATAGCCTCACTGGTACATTTTTCCTTCTTTAATTGTGTACACACAGCAGCAGCAGTAGCAGCAGGAGTTTTCCGTTTATTTTTCTTTTCTGATTTTCCCAGTATATTTTTAAAAGATAATGGACAATTCACCCTTGAGGTTAGAGGTATATCCATAACATCCGATGTCTAACAACAAATTACGTGTACAACTTCTTTTTATTTGCAACTGTTTCTTGGATAGTAGATTGAATTCACATCATGTGCTAACTTTGAGCAAATGGTAGTAGCATCCTATAAACTGTCCTGTCTAGGATTCTAAGATACGTCCAGTGGAGATAAATCTTATGTTCTGAGATCAATTAGATAAATCATATGTAAGATCCCATGTTCAGGTATCAATTAGTAATGTCTGCTGTGGGTGTAGGAATGAGCTGTTGATATGCACTTAGCCACCCATTGCCCCCTACGCTTCGACCCTACCTCCTGCTACAAAAAGCTTCTGTCTACTGTTCCTCATGCATTCCCCTGTCTTTCTTTCCCCTAGGCATTTCCTCACACTATTTCCAGGCCTAGAATGCTCTACTTTCTCTGCCCAGACAAGAATCCTATGACCCCCAATCAGATTTCTCAACTTCTGTAGAACCAGATGATAATTCTAGGTCTGCTTGTTTGCAGGGGTTGGGGGAAGGGTGGAATGGGGAGGATTTGTTCCTGGAGCATATGCTTGAGCTTCTGCTCAGGACCCTGGATAAGATGCTTCCCTTATACCTCCCAGGGAGCCAAGGACATTCTCAGTACAAACTTATTTTGACTGTAATTAAATACTATCACTTCCTCTTTGGGTTATACCTGTCCTTCTGGGGATAAGCAAATGTCTCTGCAGTTTTAGGTTTTTCATTTTACTACTGGAAATTCCCACCTAGTGAGTTCTTTTCTTAGTTTCTCCTTCTCATTTAAATTTCTGTTCCAGTCTATCTGGCTTTGTAGCTATACCCAATAGCAAAATGAAGCCAGGCTTGCCAGATATACAGATGTCGAGTGAATTATGCATTTCTCTTCTTGTCCTACTTGGATTTGGTTCTCAGAGAAATCAGTATTTGGGAAAAGAGTTGAAAAAAATACAACTTATATTTAAAAGCAGTCAGATTAGACAATAATACTGTCGTGGTCCCCTTCACCACTCTCACTTTTTTTTTTATCAACCCCTCTCCCTTAGGAAACACTTATTAAACATACCGATTCCTCAATCCCTTTCCAGACCTATTGAATCCAAATTTCCAGGGACGTGTCATTCTTAATAAGCCCCTAAGGTGATTCTTACCCACACTAAAGTTTGAAAAATAAAAGGAACATTTGTTATTTATAAGCAGGTTTTCTATTGTATTTTAGAAATTATACCACAAATGTTAGCTATCAACATGACAGTGGTTTTCTAAGACAAAATTGTCTGTAGACAGAAACCAGTGGAAAATATCTGCTATGTAGAAGATTTTAATTAACAAAACCCCATTATAACCAGAATTGCAAAATACTTCTATACAAAAACCGAAAAGTTTGTGCCCTATCCTGCACAAGTTTAAATTCACTTGATTAGGCAAGGCAATACTATATCCATTCTCATGACTTTTAACCATTGCCTTTTTGCTAATTCATTCTCTCAACAATATTCTATTGGCATGTCTTCTGTATGCCAGGGACTGTCGAAGGAGTCCCCTGGTCAACCCTTCACTTCTTTAGCCTGTCCGTTAACACTACCGGCTCTACCACATAGCCATATGTTTTCCTGCATTGCCGGCAAAGATAGCATTACCCTCCCAATTAAGCAGAGAGAAAGACTATCAGATTCTACTTAAATATTTACCTACTCTTTGCAACTCCAAACATGATTTCTGGCATGATTTGACCATAATTACTAGCCTTCTCAATCTAGGTGGTTGTCCCTTTGTGTCATAAAGCGAGTTCTTGATAGCAAGTATTAGAGACACCTTTCCAGGGCAGTTCAAACTGCCTTGGCTTGTATCATTTCAGAGAACTTCCGTTCCTCTTTGCAGAGATTCAGCTATTGGGAAGAATCAGCTGATAACAGCCACAGATCTCAGATTAGACAATCGACCCAGAAAAGGAGAAGCAGGGCACAGTGAAAAGTTAAGAAGAGGAATTAGGAAGGACTGAAGAAGAATGAAATAACATGTAAACAGTGGTTGCCTGAGCCAGCTGTATCAGAATTACCTCTTAAAATTTTACACACCCAGGTTCCACCCCAGGCTAGTGAATCAGAAGCGAGAATCTGGCTTTTTCACCAAGCACTAAGGATGAAGCTAGTGCATGGCCAGAAGAAGAAAGCCCTACGATAGAATCTTTGATTGGGGCCTTCCCTGGCATCACAGCGGAGAAAAACCAAAGGCAGCAAAGCGGAGGGATAATGGGGTGGGGGACACAGCAGTTGCCTTGCAACTGGTCATGGAAAGTGCTAGAAGTGAGCAGGAACAAGACTACAGAGCAAAGAAGAAAATTTAAAGTAGTAAAGAAGAAAATTTTAACGATGGTAGTTGTGAAACCAAACACATTTTCTCTCTTGAGAGTTCTGATTGAGTAGGAGCTCATGAGACTTCATCCCTGGATGAAATAAGACAAGTATAGGTGCCACTTCAAAGGATACTATTTCCTAGTGGTTTTGCAACCACTGGTTTTTTTCTGTGCGACATTGAAGCCTATTTTTTTATATTCTGACCCGACGCTTTCACCAAAGGAAATGTGAAAATTTTTTTTCTTTAAGTAACCTAGGTCTTCTATGAAAACTTCAGTTATCAGGATACCACTAATAATTACACAGTGAATGTTGACATTAGCGAGAAGTGTCTGTTTTAATATCAATTTTATAGAAAAGTAAAGAACTCTGTCTCACAGAGTCCTCTCAAGGAGCAATTTAAATAATGTCTGTGGAATAGCTTTGTAAAAATTGATCACAATTGCCATTAAATAGAAACACTTCAAATGCAAGATAGACATTTTTAGGATGGTTGTCTTGAAAACAACAAAAGGTGCAAAATAAATAAAAAAGAAAAAGAAACAGAAAAATCTGAAAAAGGAACCTTCATCTCTTTCTTTACGTATTTAATTCCCAAATAGCGACAACTTAAAACTGTTATGCTAAGTTGGTGGGATATGAGCATCCCTAATCAGGAGAGGTGTGATGAAATGTCTTCGCGGCTAGGATCTACATGATATCCAACCAATACAGTTAGGTGTTTAATACTTTTTTGGCTTTATTTTCACAGGCAGTGTTCTTTTGAACTTATCCTTAAAAATGAATCCAGTTGTTTCGCAGCCAACACATGGTGCAAGTGGAGTGAGGGCTAGTGACTGGCAAACTGGCCCATTTGACTGCTGTGCTAACATAGGGGTTTGTAAGTACACATAGTAATTGCTTTCTCCTTGGCTACTAGTAGTAATGCAGATTAGTAACATAATAAAAATTGTTTATTCATCCTCTCATTGATTTCCACGTTTTACTGTCTAACTCAAAAGTCATAAGCTGGAAGCATATGGTTGAATTTAGCCACCGATATGTTTTATTTGTCCTGTACATAATGAGACCCCTTGATGTATTAATTTTAATATAGAAGGAAATATCTAAAAATCAATTTCACATAAAAATCTAACTTTCCAACCTAGATTTCTAGCTTTTCCTGAAAATTTGGAAAATCAGAAAAGATGAGTCCTCCTTCTCAAGTGGCAGAGGTCAGCTGCTGCTGAGTATATTAGCCGACCCCATTAAAAAGGATAGTCACCCTGCAGTTTGTCGTATTTACATCCGTCATCCACTACTGTTTATTTTGTGTTTTTTCCAACCTATTTCACTCACTTATTTTACCTACCTGGCCTTGAGTTTGTAATCCTTGTCTAGATCAATCATTTCTTTTAAAATTTCACATGTTCTTGACATGTTCCTCCAGTCTTCTATTTATGTCTCTCTTTTCCTGCAGTGCTGATTGTTTTTTCCTGCTTTCAGTGATACTCTCGTGGCAGTTCCATTTCAGGAAGCACTGTAGGTTTTTAATTTCACTGACTTCTCATTCTTCTACACAACCAAATACACTTTTGTGTGAGAAAATTTTTCTTATTTCCGAGTCTATTGCTATGTGAGCTGCAGACACTCTGTGCAGCTCATCTTTCCAATGTCTTTGAGAAAACAGCCTCCTTTCTTTGTATATGATGGAAGGTCCAAGTTCTTTGAGGATACTTTTTCCTCAAAAAAATAAATCAAAAACTGGGACCTTCTTCTTATCTTATCTAGGGTACAGCCATATCAAAACTCTATCCCAGAGCTTTTCGAAATAGGCTTGAACTCAACATGTTTGAGAACAGTTTCCTGTTTGTTGCCATTTTTGTAAGCCCTTTTTTGTCTTATGCAGAATTTTTAAAGAGAAATTGCAGTAAGCTTTTTAAACGTTTGATACCAGTATCCTTTAACTTACTTGCTTCCATCCTCATATTGATAACAGGGTTCTACTTTTTGCCTGAACAGCTATCAGGAATCTATTCTCTATTCCTTTTTTCCATTTGGCCCGAAAGATTTCTCCACTCAGCCTTTTCCGACCCTAAACATCCTCCCATAGTTTTCAAAGAGCTTCTCAGACATCCTGACAGCACAAACTTCCTATGCAAGCATGATCCAAATTTGTGAACAAGGGCAGGGAAGAAAGATAATTTAGACATGCTCAGATTGACAAGGCAGAAGCTTTTCCAATTAAATCTGACCTGATGTAATGACATGCAAATTTTTCCCAACTTCCAGACAGTAGGATCCAGAAGCAAGACCTAAAGAGTCAGGTGACCACATTGTTTTCTCAGATGGTCCATTAAGGCCGTTTTCTGAGTGAGCATCTGTTTGAAAGTGGTGTGATTTAGTGGAAACCATGATGACTTTGACTAATGTCTCTGTGTGGTTTCTCTGTAACAGGCATCTGTGGGACTTTCTTTCCCCTCTGCCTTTCATGTCAGATTGCCTCTGACATGAATGAATGCTGTCTCTGTGGAGCAAGTGTCGCCATGAGAACCATGTATCGAACCCGATATGGCATCCCGGTGAGTTGCCCACGAGTCCACCACCAGGTGGTAGCCCAGACACCCAAGGGCTTCTCTTCAGTCTGACTGGATCTCCACGACTGCCCTCCTCACTTTCATGGCTTGACCTAGTCTTTTCCTTACCATCATCCTACTTTTGAAGTGCAGCTATCTATAGTTTGGAATATATTAGTAATAAAATCTTTTATTGATCCAATAGATATATCTCTGAAAAAGTTCTTGGAGGTGAGTAGGTGAGGGGTGGAGGTCAGCACAGAGCCCTTAGCCCTTCTCCTGGTTTTATTCAGAGTCAGACAGGACCCTTCAAATCTTCAGGGTAGGGGACAGTTTTTCAAAAAGCCTTGGTAAAAATACCGGCACATTTGCCTCATTGAGCTGGCACGTTTGCCTCATTGGTAATTCAAGCCAGTGTTCATTGATTGATTAAAAATGAACTACTGAGCACCCAGAACCTTGTTAAATCGTAAGATGGTGTTCATTCACTCAATGGGGATTTATTGAGTACGTACCCGCGCCACTTACTATGGCAGATACTAGAGACACATTGGCAATCGAAGCGAGGAAATCAAAATCTCTGTCTTCCTGGAGCTTACCTTCTTTTCTCTTTTAAACATAATTTCAGACTTAAAAGTTGCAAAAATGGTTCAAAGACTTCCTGAATACTCTTTGCCCAGATTCCCCAAATATTAAAAATTTGCCACACTTGCTTTGTTTTCTCTTTCCTCTATCTGTTCTATTTTTTTCTGAATCATTTGAGAGTAAATTACAAATAATGTGCTGTTACCTCTACTTCAGTGTGTTTCTTAAAAACAAGGACATTTTCTTATATAGCTATGATATAATTATCAAAATCAGGAATTTAACATTGATATAATACTATTAGCTAATCTATGGATCTTAATTTAAACTTTACCAATTATCCCAATACCATTCTTTAGAGGAAAATAAAATTAATCTGGGATCACACGTGTTCAGTTGTCATGCCTCTTTAGTCTCCTACAATATGAAACAGTTTCCCAGTCTTTCCTTGTCTTCCTTTTTTTTTAATGAACACAGATCAGTTATTCTGTAGACAGTCCTTCACCTTGGTTTATCAAACATGTCCTCATGATTAGACTTGGTTGTACATTTTGGCAGAAACTCCACAGGAGCTATGCTGTTTGCCATGCATCATAGCAGGAAGCACATGACATCAATTTATCACATACGGGTGACGTTAACTTTGATTACTTGCTTAGTGTCTGCCAAAATTCTCCACTATAAAGTTGCTATTTTCCCTTTTATAATGGATAAGGACCTTGTAAGGAGATATAACTATCCTGTTTCTCATCAAACCTTTACCCACTAGTTCTAACATCCATTGAAGATTATTCACTGAATCAATTATTACTATGATTGTTGCCAATGATAGAGCTTACACTCTACTGGGAGAAGATAGCTATAACATAACTAAGGAAAAATATAACATATAGGATGATGATAAGTGCTACAGAGAAAAATAAAACAAGGAGGAAGAAGAGAGTGTTTAAGTTTCTACTTTTAAATACGGCTATCAGGAAAGACCTCAGTCAGAAAGTAAAGACCCAAAAGGATGAGCGCATGACCCACCTGGGGAAGGTCCAGGTAGAGGAAAGATCTAGAATCAAGGCTTTAAAGTAGAGCTTACCTGAAATGTTATAGAAACAATGGGGAGAGGGCAGGAATAGAGTGGGGGGTAGAGGATAAAAGAAGATGATGTCAGAGCATTGGCAAGGGCCTTACAGACCATTATAAGAACTTCAGCTTTTCCTTTGAGGAAGCCATTAAATCTTTTAAACAAAGAAGTTACACGATAGATACTTGTTCTTGAAATTTAACCTCTACCTCACTCGCTTCCGTGTGACTGAGCACAAGTTATTAAACTACCTAAGACTCAGCCCCTTCACCGATAAAGAGGTAAAAATGTTACCTTTGCTATGGTGGTATCCTAAGAATCACATAAAATAATGCATGGAAAGGGCTTACTTAGCACAGGGCTTGGCAAGTGATAAGTTCTCAATAAATAATTACTATTTCCGTTGTTATCTCGGGAAATGATGTGACTGTTTTCTCAAGGCCAGGGTGTGTTCAGGGCCCTGGCTTCATTGTTCCCATGTGCTTGCTCAGTACCCGATTTTCTCAACACACCCTGCTTCTCTCATATATGCTACTCATACAACTGCATATCACACAGAGATTCCTAACTCTGTGACTACACCATGAACTTTCTGAAACTATGCAAAGTGTCACGTGTATGTAGTTATGTATATGAGTGTGAGGTGGGTTTCTCAAAGTGGTCCCTGACCCTAAAATGGTATAGGGGAAAAGGCACTTAGCTGGATTCTGGAAGTAAAGGTTCTGGGAACAACTCAAGCAATAGCTAACTTTTTGACTCTGATGAGTCATTTGGTGGCATTGGTTTTCTGTCATGAGGAAGTTGTGCAAGATGATTTCTAAGGTCATCCATTTCTCTATCTGATGAGAGTCACAATGTTAGAAGACTTTTAACATTGCTATTCATTTGTCCATTCGTTGTCCCACATGCTTACTCTTTTAGATGAGAATCAAAATCACAGTAGCAATAAAAAAGTTCATGAAAAATAAATCACTCATAATCTCAACATATAGGTGCTCCTAACCCTTATAACTCTCTCTCTCTCTCTCTCTCTCTCTCTCTCTGCTTCTCTCTTTCTTTCTCTCTCTGCTTACACTGTAAATTGGGAATTGTATTTGCTCAATGCTTTAAAAAAAATTAGTGCAATTAAAAAACGGAGTTCAAAATTATTTAGTCCATCAAGACACATAGTCATAGAACCTGGTTGTCAGACTAGACCCCTTGGAGCAGCCAGTGCCTCCTACTCAGAGCAAGATTCCCTTCAAGGGTTCTTCCAGGATTCTTCACCTTCAAGGGTTCACCCGGATTCTTCCAGGGAGAGGGCCCTCAAAACTTTGCAAAGTAGCACATTGCGTGGCTTTTCCAAACACTATTCATCTCTTCTTTCTTCTTTTCCCCATAATTTGCATGTCCCTCTCTTACTCTGGGCCTCCTCCCTTACAGAACAAACATAAGAGATGCCAATGAAAATGGCTAGAGGGATACAAGATGAGGCCTGGTCTGGCACTACTCACAAACTATAGAAAATTGGTGCATTACACAACTGGCTTTAAAGGGAACCATTTCAGAACAGGCAATAGAGGGCTGGGACTATAGCTGTAAACTGCAGATGATTTGAGATGATGTAATATGATGAAAAGGGCGCCGGCTTGAGAAGAGAAAGACCAAGCACTACACCAATTTGTTTTATGATCTTAGCGAATCATTCAGTTTCTCTGAGTCATCAGAAAAATGGGGATACTATCAGAGAATTCTCATGATAAACAAGTGACGTAAAATGTACATTTTAAAGAGGTTTGAAAAGTTATACAAATGCAAGAAATTGTGTGACTATATTTATAGGCTACATGTTGATTCATTTGTCTGTTTTTTAACAGGGATCTATTTGCGGTGATTTCCTATGGTTGTGTTTTTTCCCTTCCTGCGCCCTTTGTCAACTCAAGAGAGATATCGAGAAAAGAAAAGAAATGAATGCTTTCTAAAAGAGATGCTTGGTATGTGGTGGAAATTCTTTAATTTATGAATATTGAAACAAATTCCAAAAACATCTTTTATTTCCTTGGTACTTTCTCCAAGATACCTTAACAAATGGAGGGCAAATGATTTTTAATTGCCAGCCTAGAATCTGGGTTAAAAGGACTAAGCCTGGTTGGATAGGAAAGAATTTTGTGATTTTTGTAGGATGTCTGCCACAGTAGGAGTGGTCATGTGATGTACCAAATAAACATGCGACATGTCAATTATGTCTATCTTAACTACACCATGATTTAAGGTAGAAGAGGTATGTGTTTGACTGGACACTGACTTAAGCCCAGATCTCAGTGTGGCTGTGTAATGTACTTAGTTGTATGTTCTTGTCAACACCACAATATTAAAATAATAATTTATTTTCCAAAGTGGTGGAAAGCTATTTTAGTCTCTATAAATTAAGTCTGGACAATTTACCTAGTTATCCAAAATTTCCGAAACACCCAATATGAAAAATAATTAGACTTTTTGATGGTTGTATTATCAAAGTTGGCCAGCTATTTATTTACCTAGTTTCCTAAGCTCTCTTGATCACATTTTAAATTTCAGTTCTTTCTGTTTCTCTCAGGCAAAAGGGCAATGGCTTACTCAGTCTTGTCTTTCAATCTCTTCCTGCCAGTCCCCATGGATTTGTAAATTTCACATGGAAATGACTCTTCTCCATAAAACTCTTATCTCCCAAGAGGTTTTTGAGAGTGTGTTTGATCAGGGTGATGCATTAATGTGTATGATTGGTTGACATTAATGCAATCTGTCTCTCTCACGTGCAGCACAAAATAAAGTCCTCTGATGAACATGCTTCAGTATGTTGCATTTTTAGTACCATTTTCATGTCCTAGTATTTGTCTTCCACTTGTTTTAAATGGTTTCCCTCAATGACTGAAGTGCTTAAATCACTTTCAAGCAGAGTCAAGATAGGGAGTTCTCTTATTAGTCTTTTTCCTCCTTCTACCCTATTTCCTAAGAATTAACTTTTGTCTCTCTTCCCAAAGAGTGATGTTTTTTTAAAAGCCTGTGTTACCAACTTGACTCAGAATTTGATGCCAAAGTAGCCCTGAGGGAATTAGACTGTGGTAGTTGACTGGTCTAGTTATGCAGTCAATGAAAAAGATTCTTTGGATTCTCTACCTTTTGAATGCCCTCACCTTCGCATGTTTGATGATTCATTGTCATTTGGTGACTGGAGTTAACTCTGGCAAGCTGCACAGCATTCTGTTTGTTCACCCAAGAACCTAGCAATAGTGCCTGACACATAGTAGGCACTTAATAAATATTGTAGATGAATAAATGAATGCAACTTTCAAGCTAGGAAGCATAACTGAGGCCCTAACCTAAGAGACTCATCCAAATCTTAACGATTTCTGACAGATTGTACTGAACAAGGTGGTCATTATTTGATGTAGATTTTAAATATGTAGCAATTTGGCAGCAGTGTAGGGGTGGAATGGAAGTTTTGATATTTGGAACAAGATAATGTAAAAAAAAAATAGAACTAATAAGTCCTAATTATTTCATTCATTTTTTCCCCCCTGATTTTCTACAGGTAAAATTCGCTTGGTGGTAAAAGAAAATGCTGGAACGAAAAACTGCATTTATTAAATGCTATCTCACCTCAAATCTTAGGAACTAATTATAAATTCAACTAATCATATTGTTTCAAATGGCTTCAAAACCTTTTAATTTCCAATTTATTTTAAAATATATATATTTCCAGCACCATTCTCTAAGATGACTGCCATTAAAAAAATTAATTTCCACAACAATTCTTGTGTCTTTAAATACTGCTTCATAGGAAATTACAATATGTTTCTTTTAAAAATGAACCCAAGGTTGTCAAAATGTCAAAGTTGAATGATGGATAGATGAAAATTCTTTATTCTATCTTTCTATCTACCTTTATAGGTTTGAAAATTTTCAGAATAAAAAGTTTTTTAAATGTCGCCAAGTCAAAAGCTTTTACTACTTCGGAATTTCCTTCCACTGGGAGGCCAGGTGTTACCCTGCGTGGTCCCTCACCCCAAGAAAGTATGGTTTCCTCCAGTTGGCATTTGGCTTTTCTTTACAGCCCCATAAAGTAAATCCGCTCCCGGAAGCCGTTGCTGAGCAATGCAGAGTTAACGGTAGATTATATAGATGAGAAAGGATTTCTGTCACAAGACTAATTAATTCCCATTGGACATTTCTATACTCCTCGAAGTCCTCTCCTGCAGCAAGTCAGCCACAGAAGCTCCACACACCTTTCTCCCCTGCCCCCACCGTTAATGCGGCATTTTATTACCTTTTTATTTAGATATAATTGATATAACATTGTATTCATTTTAAGTGCACTACATAATGATTCAATATATATGTATAGAAAAATGATTACCACAATAAGTTTGGTTAACATCCATTACCACACATATTACAATTTTTTTCTTGTGGCGAGAATTTTTAAGATGTACTCTCTTAACTTTTAAATATGCAATACATGTTATTAACTATTGCCACCATGCTGTATATTACATCTCCAGGACTCACTTACTTTATAACTGGACATTTGTATCTTTTAACCACTTTAGCCCATTTTATCCACTCCCCACCCTTTTCCACTGCCAACTACCTATCTGTTCTCTGTATTTATGAGCTCAGGTGTGTGTGTGCATGTGTGTGTGTGTGTGTGTGTGTGTGGTGTTGTTTTAGATTCCATGTATGAGTGAGATCATATGGTGATTATCTTCCTCTGTCAGACTTACTTCACTTAGCTTAATGCCCTCAAGGTCCTCCACGTTGTTGTAAATGGCAGGATTTCCTTCTTGTTTAAGCCTCGATAATATTCCATTGTATATATGCATAACATTTTCTTTATCCATTCATCTGTTGATAGACACTTAGGTTGTTTCCATGTCTTAACTATTGTAAATAACACTGCAGTGAACATGGCGGTGCAGTTCACACACTTTTCTTATGCAGAGCAATATATTTCATCTCAGCTTTCTAGTTCTAGGAACCACAGCTCCAAAGGTACAGGAAGGGGTTGGAATTCTGTCATTAAGCAAAATAATGTTTTCCATCTAGCTTATTAAAAAATCATAACATATATTGTACCTGTGTATACATGAAAGCTATGATAAATAAGGAGGTTTATTTTTAAAAAGTCTTTGATTCAGGGAAAGTAGTTATTAGTCTCATTCTCCCACTCTTGATATTATGCTTTATCCTGTACATTCCAAATGCTTGTCCCCCTCATACAAGACTACTACCCTCAATTAAATCGACACCCCCCCTTAAATGCTCCTGCACACTAGAAATAAGTTGCAAGAGCCAAGAAGCAGTAAATCCTCGAAGGAATTTGGGGGTGAGGGAAAGGAGACATGTGAAAGATTTACAAATTGGCAAAGCAAAGAACAGCAGAAGAGCATTCACCTCACCTTTCCAGGGTATGGAATGATCATCCACACATCCCACCTCTCGTGAACGATGTATCAGACACCTTTTGCTCCCTAGTGGCTTAAACAACAGTCACTTCAGACTTCGAGGAGAACACCCTGTCTCTGCTCATGCAGTGTAAACTAGGGTAGTTCTACTTGAGCTGGAGGGTAGCCTTTCAAGATGATCCACTCACATAGCTAATCAGTGCTGCTTCTTGGCTTATTTCACTTAGTAAGATGTCCTCAAAATTCATCTACATAGTACATATGTCAGAATTCCCTTCCTTTGCAAAGCTGAATAATATTCCATTGTATGTATATACCACATTTTGTTTATCCATTCACAAGTTTGGGTTGCTTCCACGTTTTAGCTATTGTGAATAGGCTACTATGAACATGGGTGTCCAAATATCTGTTCAAGACCCTGCTTTCAATTCTCTTGGGTATACACCCACAGTATATAGATCATGTGTTAATTCTATTTTTAATTCTTTGAGGAACTGCCATATTATTTTCCACAGTGGCTGTCCTGTTTCGCATTCCCATCAACAGTGCACAGGTGTTTCGATTTCTCCTCGTCCTCACCAACACTTGTTACATTCTGTCTTGTTTTAGATAATAGCCATCCTAATGGGTGTGACATGGTCTCTCATTGTAGTTTTGATTTGTGTTTCGTTGATGATTAGTGATTTGGAACATCTTTTCATGGGTTTATTAACCATTTGTATATGTCTTTTGGAGAAATGTCTATGTAAGTCCTTTGCCTCAAGGACTTTTGAATCAGATTGTTTAATTTTTTTGTTAAGTTTTAGGAGTTTTCTATATATTCTGAATATTAGTCTTTTATCAGATAAATGATTTGCAAATATTTTCTCTCATTCTGTAGGTTCCCTTTTCTGGCCAGTGTAACTCTTGTCCTAGTAGGAAGACAGATTTCTGGTGCTTCCATCTGCCATCTTGTCAGGACCCTCCCTATTCTTAGCATTTTATCTCCACTTCTCTTTGATGGTCCATACAGGACCAAATGTTGTTTTGTTTTGTTTTGTTTCAATCCAACCTGCTTTTCTTTTTTTCTTTTTTCTTTTTTTAGATGCCTACAGCACCTGGTCTTCCTGCGTGGTCTCCCATCCAAGTACTAACCAGGCCCAACCTTGCTTAGCTTCCGAGACCAGATGAAATCGGGCACATTCAGGGTTTCATGGCCACAGTCTCCAACCTGCTTTTTAAACTAGTTCAGTTCCTCCTTACCACATATAAAACTAAATCATTGGCTGAATCACATTTTCTTTCATTTTCTTTCATTTATCTATATAGTTCGTGTGCTGACTACAAGGTTATTACAAAGCTGAAAAACTGAACCCACTTTAATGCGTTATTTTCTGGATCTTTCTTTTGAAGCCTAAGCAACAATTTTGAATTATAAAGAGATAAACAACATTTAAGTTAAGTAGTTTATGCCTGTAGTTGGCTTAAGGAGCCCAATGAGGGCAGAGTGAATAAAGGAAAGATAAGAATTTTCTACACAACTGTAAAGAAAACTCTCAAGTATAACAAAGGATATAAAATTCTTTGTCATATATTGTTCCCCACATATTCAAAAAATTAAGAGATTCTTAATATATAACACAGCAAAGACCTTTTTGTTTGATTAATTGTTTTGACTTATAGAACAGGTCACAAAATATTCTTATATCAAACCACCTCACTTCTGAATCTTTGATTGAGCTTAGTTTTGAAAGTTTTTTTTTTTACCCTTTCACTGGAGTTTTACAAAACAAAACAAAACAAAACCCTAATATCTAGAACTGGAGTGTTCTAAGCATGGCTTTTTTATTTCCTTAGTTTGAGTGTAAGACTAAGGCAAATCATATTTTACCTTCAATTCAGAAGATGACACAATCCCTATACAGTGTAGGGCCTTCATGTGTCTTTCGCTGCTATGGGGGAATTTACATTTGGGTCGCCAGAATCCACAACCATCATGGAACTTTTATAAGAAGGGAAGATCAGCAAAAACAAAGCTGCCAACCAATGCCCAACATGACTCACGTGCCTAACCTTACAGATTGTATCCTTGCCTTCTTTCTCTGGACCCACATCCATGATTCCATGACCCAGATTCCATGGCCATTGGTCTGTACATTACATTGTTCAATGAACATGTACATTGGTCTGTCTGGTCTCACTAGCTGGACCTGCCCTGAGCCCTAGCCTCCAGACCCAGGTCTCTGTTTCCTGAAACAGATAGTAGTAGCTGGACTGTTTGGATTTTTGTCTGAGTGAAGTTTGTACCCTAAAAAGGAAATGTCAGAAGAAAACAACAAGAATGAAAAAAGAGTTCCTTTCGGTAAGACAAATGAAAAATCAGACAAAACAAAATTCCTGC